AGCAACCACATCCATTTTCACAGGAGAATAATGAGGTAAAGATATTTGCTTAGCTATATGCAAGATTTTTGTAATTATAAAGAGTTTAAAGATCACCGTACACCATCCTTCAAACAAAAATTCTTTGTGAAAACTTGCGATCTCAGTAACACTTATGAAAACGTCGGAATCTCTTTGTCACAACAAACGCTAGAGAAGATTGTGTCTTGCATTAGGTTCAAAGAAATTACATAGCAAAATGCTAGAACAACCGTAAACACACTTCAACAAAGTGACTGGTCCTTTTGATTTGAGTAGATGAAACTTCAACCTAACGAGCGCAACTCCGATTGAGATCCCACACCGAGAACAGCTCCAAATCTGGTAACGGAGGAGTGAGGACTTGCCTTCGAGACCAAACCATGGGGCACTTTTCTGTGTATCGGAAACCGTTGAGGAAAAGGACAAGATCTAAATCACGATAGGCCCGAGGAGCCGAGAAGCCGAAAGGCAAGAGAAGCGGGCAAAAATCTGCAATCGCCGGTGATACATCCATCGTTGAGGAACCAGATCTTGGGATGTAGAAGACACTCAGCTAGAGATCTTAGCATAAAGCTAGAAGCAGGACTAGAGGTAGTTGATGACACACCCGTGAAATCCGGTGTCGGCATGTCGGGTTCGTCAAAAGAAGACCTGATGGCGGATAAAGAACCCCGCAGCAGAGAAGGAGGGAGGTAGATCTGGTTAAAAAAGGTTGAGATGTGGAAGATTGCATCCTACAAAAAACACTGTAACCCTAGTCCCTCTATTTAGTACTGCGAGGAACATCGGAGGAGAAGACATAGTGTCGGAGAACGATGGATTCTCAAACTCTCGGCAAGATGCCGGAGGGAGGGAGCGTGACCGGACACTCGCCGGAGAAAGACCGGTTTGCATTCAACATCGGCAAGGAAGAAGTACGTACGGCGGAGGAGAGATAAAAAAGTGGAGAAAATATATATATTTATATATTATTCTAGAAAATCTTCTTCTGGAGTATAAAGAGGATGGAGATGAGTTCAGAGGAGGTGAGACGAAGACGGGATTTTGAAAAAACAAGGTGGAAAGGTCACGGGGGTGAGGAGGTTATGTCGGAAAAGTCATCGAAAATAGTGGTTGGGGGCTGGCATTGGGAAAAAGGGCCTGGGAGAGTTTTTCGGCTTTTAAATAAATAAATAAAAAAAAAGAACTGTGTGGTTTCATTTATTAGTCTTTAACGATGATTTTACTACTCTTTTTGTTTGTTTGTATTAACAAAGATTTTTTTCGAGTTCTTTCGAACTATGGCAAAAACACCATTNTCCGAGCTTAAGTGTTCAGAATCAATGTTTCTTTATCGGAGATTTACTGGACTTTGTTTTAGTGTGTGTCTACCTTGTCGTTTGTTTATGTCTGTTTCTTTGTTATCGTTGTATTTTTGCCATTATTTGTAGTTTTCGGTCTTTCTGTCTTCTAAGTTATCTCTTTATCATTATAAAAACTTATAAAAATGGTATGAATCTTAAATTTTTTTTTTTGATAACGAGGGGTGATTGGAGTTTTTACC